GAAAAAAGATTCCTTTCAAAATATTAGTATTCATTGACAATTAATACAACAAGTTACTCAAGAGCTCTGATGAAGATGTACAAGGAGATGAATGTTGTTTTCATGCCTGTTAACACAACATTCATTATATAGCCCATGGATTAAGAACTAATTTTGACTTTCAAGTCTTGTTACTTAAGAAATACATTTTTTTTGTAAAGATTATAGCTGCTATAGTGATTCCTCTGATGTATCTGGGCAAAGTAAATTGAAAACCTTCTGAAAAGGATTCACCATTCTAGATGCTAGTAAGAACATTTTTGATATAGGGGATGTCAAAATATCAACTTTAATAGGAGTTGAAGTTGACGCCAGCCCTCATGGGTGACTTTGAAGAATTCAAGACCTCAGTGGAGGGGCTAACTGCAGATGTAGTAGAAATAGTAAGAGAGCTAGAATTAGAAGCAGAACCTGAAGATGTGATTGAATTGCTATAATCTCTTGATAAAATTTTAATTTTAATGAGGAGTTGCTTCTTATAGATAAGCAAAGAAAGTGGTTTCTTGAGTGGAACTGTTCCTGGTGAAGATGCTGTGAATAACTTTGAAGTGCCAAGAATTTAAAATATAACATAAGACCTAGTTGATAATACAGTGCAAGGAGTAAGAGCATGGACTCAAATTTTGAAAGAAGTTCTACCATGGGCAAAATGTTATTAAACAGCATCACATGCTTCAGAGAAATCTTTCACAAAGAAGAGTCAATTGATAATGGCAAAATTCATTGATATCTTAAGTTGCCAAAGTCACCCCAAGCTTCAGTAACCAAGTCCTCCATCCCTCAGTGGCCATTAGCATGGAGGCAACAAAAAGGTAATGACTTATTGAAGGCTCAGATGCAGGTTGCCATTTTATATCAGTAGCAAGTGTTTTCATTTTTGTTTTTTTAAAGATTTGTTTATTTATGCATACAAGAACTGGGGTACAATGACTTGTTTTCGGATACACAGTGGTGTTTTTTTAAGAAGTTAGTTTTTGTTGCAATATAATTTACGTGTAATAAGGTACGATTTTATATGTGTAATTTGAGAATTTTGTTTTCTTTTAAAATCAGCTCAATAGATTTTTCAAAATTAAAAAAAAAAAGAACTGGGGTACAGCAGAGAGGTGCGGGGGTGAGAAGATTCACCAGAGACAGAGTGGGGAACAGAACAGGCAGATTGACTGAAATACACTGCTGAGGGGAGCAGCAGGCAAGACAGGAGAGGTCTGCTGCACCATGTAGGTAGTGCCCTGACAGGCCACAGATCAAACTCATGTTGCAGAGGTTGCGGATAGCTTCACAGTGCTATGTTTACCCCTTGTGCCACCAGGGAGGCCCGCAAATGTTTTTAAACTAAGGAATGTATATTACTTTTTTAAAAGACATAATACCACTAAATAGACTTAATAGACTATACTGTAGTATAAGCACACTTAATAGACAATACTGTATTATAAGCCAAGCATACCTATCAAATGTACTGGGAAACTGAAAAACTCGTATGACTCACTTTATTGTAATATTCACTTTATTTCTGTGATCTGGAACTGAACTGGGAGTATCTTGAAGTGTACATGTAAATTAAGATTTTATTTCTGAGGAAATGGAATTTATAATAAGAATGCTTTAATTATTCTAGAATTCTTCTAGAAAAAAAGAGGTAACATTAAATAAGATGTTTATATGACATTGACCAACTGTTGTGGAATAAGAGCAGGTAGAAATAAAAAAGACCCCAAATATTTAGAAATCTTGAGACAACTGCAGTATTTGAAATGAATAATGTCTAATAAAGAACATAAACAGAAACTTAAAAATAGGTAATGATGGAATCAGTGGATTGGAACAGAGAAAGACATGTGGAAAGAGAACTAAGTACCACCACCTTTTCTCTGTTACAAGTTACAGAGATTGGAGAAGGGTTCAATAGTCCAAGTGATATTGATGACTCCTTTTTTTTTAGGCTTTCCAGTTTCAGATGAGACTAGTAGTGTTCAAGGTGGTATGGCCGTAAACACTCTCCACTTTTAGAAAGTTGCAGCAGGTGAAATTTCTATGACTGAACACATCAGGTTGAAAGTGTAGAAGATCAAGTCAAGAAAAAGACTGAAGTAAACAGTCTTATCTTCTACAAAGGAATAGCAATACAAATGAAAGAACTCACCTGCAAAAATCAACAGTAGGGAAAATAATCGAGCAATATCTTTAGTAATAGTTTAAGCATTATTTTGGAATTCCAGACCCAGCAGAATCTTATACAAGTTTGAAGTTATGACTGAAATATTTGGAGACATACAAAACTAAGAATCATACGCACAGGCCTCATGAATTTTAGCATATGTTTTGGTGAGAAGAAAAGTTAGGAAAGAATGAAGGGCTGGAATGCAAGAATAGAAGTTGAGCAAAGAAGTTGGCAAAGCATGTTGACAAATCTAAATAATTTTTAAAATTACATTTATTTATTTTTTACATCATTGTTCATTTTTTGTAATATTTGATTTCTCCCCTCAGGTGTAATCCCCATGCGGGTCTCACTACCAAATCACCTGTGACCCATCACCATGGTTTCTTACGCTTTTCCCTCTGCTTTTTGACCCCTCTCTTCTTCCCTTTCCTGCCGTATGTCTCAGTTCTATAGTTTCCCTGAGAGTTTTTTCTTTTATTTTTCTGACCCCTTCATCAGTTTGCCTATATTCCTCCTATAAATGAAACCATCCAATATTTTTTTTCCTTCTGACTTATTTCACTGAGCATACACCCTTTCAGCTCTATCCATGTTGTTGTGAATAGCATGAGTTTCTTTTTTGATTGCTGAGTAGTATTCCATTGTATGTGTGTGTGTATATATAGAAATCTTTAAATAAATATATATTTATTTATAAATATTTAAAAATATATAATATATAAAATACATATTATATTTAAAAATATATATTATATAAAATATAATATATAATATAATAATATAATATAATTATATGTAATATATTATAATATAATATATTATTATATAAAATAATATATAATATATATTATATTTTATATAAATAGACATAATATATATAAAATATATTTATTTATTTATGCATGTAAGAACTAGGGTACAGGCCAGAGGTGCAGGGGGGGGGTGAAAGGATTCACCAGAAACAGAGTGGGGAACAGAACAGGCAGACTGACAGCAGTGAAATACACTGCTGAAGGGAGCAGCGGGAGACAGGAGAGGTCTGCTGTGCTATGTGTGTAACTGCCTGGCCAGGGATCGAATTTGTGCTGTAGAGGCTGCGGATAGCTTCACAGTGCTGTCCTTAACCCCTTGTGTCACCAGGGAGGCCCCTCCATTGTGTATATATACCACATCTTCTTGATCCACTCATCTCTTTTGGGGTGTTTTATTTATTTATTTATTTTATTTTTTTATACAAGCATTGGGTACAGTCAGAAGCGTGGGAGGGTGAGAGAATTCACCAGAGCCAGAGCGGGGAGCAGAGCAGGCAGAAGAACCAAAGTACACTGCTGAGGGGAGCAGCGGGCGGCAGGGGAGGTCTGCGTACCATGTGGGACCCTCCTGGGGTGGCCGGGGAGCAGCCGGGGATCGAACCGGTGCTGCAGAGGCTGCGGGCAGCTTCACAACCCAGCGCTCAACCGCTGCGCCACCAGGGAGGCCCTCTTTTGGGGTGTTTTAAATCTAAAGTTATTATTATTATTGTTTAACAAAAAAAGCATCTTGTTGACTTCGGCTTTGTCACTAATAATTTATTTCATTATAAAAATGAGGCAAAACTGGCAAAAGTGATATTTTAAAATTAGCAGTGATGTGCAAATGGTTGTTTGTGACAAAACAAATACCAACCAAATAAGAAGAGAAACCAGAGTGGAATTAGAGTTCAACTAAGTAACCTGGAATAAGAGAAATGCAAATATATGTCATTGTTAGAATTTGTTCTATCAGTGCAAATCAGCACATGAACGAATCAGAAATTATAAAAATCATCATATGGCTACAGAAAAAAATGTAAAAATTAAAATTTAAAATTCTTAAAGTGACCCTTCAGTTATTACTCTTCAATCTTTCCCTTCTCAAGCCCTCAGGTGGGCATTCGTTTTATAAAAAACCCTGAAGCTCCAAGCCTGGTCTAATTTGCTCTGTTGCCAGGTTTCTGTAGTACCCCAGTTACCCAGTCAAAGTTTCCACAAAGCTACTTTCTAGATACACACATGAATAATTCAGTGCCAATATCTAAAATAATTTGATAAGGATAAAGGATATCTACTGGCCATGGAGAGAAAAGATCATACTTTATGGCAAAATTTAGAAGCATTTGCATTAACACGGGGATGAGATGTGGGTCACCTTATCAACCACACTGTTCAACCTGGACTTGAAGTAATATCCAATTCAAAAGACTAAGGAAACATAAAATATATATATAACATAAACATCTTATAAAATATAAGATGTTTGTCAGAAAAGAGAAGATAGGACCTCCCTGGTGGCTCGAGGGGTTAAGGACTGCACTATGAAGCAATCCACAGACTCTGCAGCACAAGTTCGATCCCCGGCAGGCCAGGGAGCAACCCACATGGTGCAGCAGACCTCTCCTGCCTTGCCCACTGCTCCCCTCAGCAGTGTACTTCAGTCAGTGCGCCTTTTCTGTTTCCCACTCTGTAGCTGGTGAATCCTCTCACCTCCCACATCTCTGGCCTATATCCCCGCTCCTGCATGCATAAATAAATAAATCTTTTAAAAAAAAAGAGACGATAGTTACATTATCTTGGAGACATTGTCTTTATTAGTCAACCAAGAGAATCTACAAATAAGTCATTAAATAAGTTAATTTTGCTAAATACCAGCTCAACTTAAGAAACAAATTATTTCTGTATACCAGTGACAATGTACAAATACATTCAGGATTTTAGAAATATTAAAGCACTATAAAAACAACAACAACAACAAAAACAACAAACTTCAGAATTTCAAACTTTTCCAGGAAAGGAAAATTATATATTAAAAATACATAAGGACAATGGAAAAGAATTGGTTCTTTGGGGACCACTCTATCCCCTAAGCCCAAAATTACAGTTAAATTCTTTGCTAACTTTGTCATTAATAAGAGGAGAATACATTATCTTTGGTCCCCATTTTGTACTTGTTTTGTATCAAACAACCATTTGTCCACATACATGTATTTCCTAGATCCCCCATAGGAGTCAGAATCACCATAAAAAGCACAAAATGTTGAGAAGGTTGTCATAAACTAGCACATAACAAGGGCCAAAACCATTAAACTTAAGAATGACTCTAATTTGGGAGAAAAGGGGGTACATCGGTAGTGCTTGGGAAAGGACAGAATTTTAGAAAAAAGTGCTGGTGCTGAGATTCAACGCAAACCAGGGGGCAGGGCGGCCCAAGGGAAAACGACCTAAGCAGCAATCTGGATGCTGCAAAGTCACTGTATTTCCAGCAGTATTTCTCTGCTGACGTGGTCTTCCTTTCAGGTATTTCTGTCTGCCAATGTTCCAAAACTCTGCAGTGCCTGAATTAAAAAAAAGAAATTTGTCCCTTAGCCAACCTCGGTAATTCTTGAAAATTGACTGCAAAACAATACCGCTCTCAGAAGCACCTCTTCTGTTCCCCGCCGGGTGGCAAGGGGTTATGGGAGGCAGTTCAATCCTGGAACAGGCGTCTCCGGGCCTTCGGGTGAGGACCGGGAGGGCGCTGGGGGCGCGCCTGGGGACTTGGATTTGGAGACGGAGGTAGCGGTTGCAGTGGCGAGTTGGGAAAAGGCTCCAGAAGGCGCAACTTGAGGCTGAAATAGCGGCCAGGAGAGAGTCTCTCTGGACTAGGGGTGGGGGCCCAAGGCGAGGGGTCTAGGATGCTGCCTTGCGGGTAGGGGCTAGACACTCCAGCAGCCACAGGGCGGAGCCCAACGACTGGGTCTGCTGCATGGTCCATCCAAGGTGGCGGGAGCTCAGGGTCCTCCTCCTCGTCGTAGACCTCCTCTTGGGCGGCGATCTCTGGGGAACAGGCACATAATTCTTGCTCGATGGCAACAACTTCTCCCAGGGTGCCCAGGAAAGCGCCAGGTTCTAGGCCGACAGGCAAGTGGCCCTGCTCTCCAAGGTGTTGGTCGCCTGAACCGAGGAGGGCCTCAGGAACCAGCACGAGAGTGTACGCTCCGAGAGACACCTGCAGGACCGACGTTGGCTCGGGTTCCAGCACCAAGTCGACGTCGTCCAGGCGCACCTTTAGGGCACAGCCTGCGGCCAGGACCACTGTGCAGGTGACCGCGCCTGCGGCCTGGGGTCCCGTGAGGTCCGCCAGGCTGGGCGCCATCTCGAAGTCGGGGCCTTCAGGCTCCTGGGATCTCAGGCGCTTGGCAGGGTGTGGCTCCCCGGGCTGTTGTACCCACCAGGGCGCTGGATAGGCGCTGGGACTGCGGGGTCGGGTGCCCATCACCCGGCTGGTGCTGCAGGTGGTGCTTTCTGGGGCCTGGCAGAAGGCGTGGGGGGCTGGGTCCTGCCTGCAGGGACAGGTCTCCGATGATAGGCCAGGCGGACTGCGGGCAACGGGGGCGCAGGAGCACGCACCGCCACGCGGAGCAGCGGGTGCTAGTGGCCCTGAGGGCTGCTCCCCGGAGCGCAGCAGCCGGGGGATTCCGAGCGAGGCTAGCCTTCGCGCGCGCGCGTTGGACTCTGGTTCCTCACGCCGGATGCGGATGAAGTTGCAGTGACGTCAGTAGAACCAAAGTCGCAAAATGTCACGCTAAAGTTCCGCCCCTTTCTGAGGCTCCGCCCTGTACAGGGTTGTGCCGCCCAATAGCCGGGCCTGTGGTTGGCGGGTCAGGGTGGGGAAATACTTGTACAGGCCTCTAGGGGGCCGGGCCACCCGCTGCTCTCCAGGGCTGGGCTTCGGGCGTCAAGTTCTGGGCCTTCTTTCCTGGAGGGGATTTCAGATGCAGAGCATCAATTTGGAAGTCTGAGAGTTTCGAGTCCCAGCAGGGGAACGCTGCCCCAGGAACTGAGATGCTTAGCCCCTCCTCCCCCAGGCCCCTGCCCCGGAAGCACCCTGCACTCTTCTTTTGGGCCAATGGTGGGGTGAGTTTTTGAACGACACCCTTATGCTTCTGTCGCCCAAGTCGTAAGTGATGGTGAGATCCTTTCAGCGGGGTTGGACGGCAAAGTGATACTGGGGTTGAATGTGGTATCAGCAGCTCCTGCTCCATCAGCTTATTACTGTACCATGCTGCACTATATTCTATATCTAGATGTCTTCAATTAGTATTATGGTAATTATGACACCACTATCAACTGAAGTGAGTGTTTACTTTATCTAACTGGACTTAAACTACAACCAGGAAGTGTATTTGTTTTTAGTGAAATTTACAGATGATCATCAGAAGGATTAACCTGTTTGTCCAGAAGCCCGGATATGAAACTCCACTTAAAATGGAGTCGGTACCAGTGATTTGGGCATCAACTTAAAGGCATGTCTTCCATGGTGTATTGTGGCTAGAAAAGGGAAGGTGTGGATCAACTCGTTATCTAGTGTATGTAGGAGAAAGCACCCAGTAGTGATTTTGGGATAGGTAGTATTTCCTCATGGTTCCAGAGGACAAGGAAACACCCTGCAATCTTTGTCCTTTAACCACGCGTTTGCTCTCTTGGTCACTTTTAACTAAACAGCATACTATATATTCTCAGTTTTAGGTCTGCATACCATTCCTTTGTATGGACTTGCCGTTTAAATCTGGCCTCTCTTGATGGACTTTTCAGCTAGTGGTTCGGGCATTTGTGGAACATGCCAATTCTCTCCCTACTGCAGATCACTGAATCAGAATTCCTGCAGCACGCAGCCTAGGAATTGTCTCTAAGCGTCTCAATTTTTTTTTTTCCTCTCTAAATATTTATTTATTTATTTATACAAGTACTGGGTACAGTCAGAAGCGCAGGAGGGTGAGAGAATTCACCAGAGCCAGAGCAGGGAACAGAACAGGCAGACTGACGAGATACACTGCTGAGGGGAGCAGCGGGCGGCAGGAGAGGTCTGCGTGCCATGTGGGACCCTCGCCTGGCGCGGGGGATGGAACCGGCGCTGCAGAGGCTGCGGGCAGCTTCGCAGTCCAGCGCTCAACCGCTGCGCCACCGGGGAAGCCCTCATTTTTTTTTTTTAAAAGATTTATTTATTTATGCATACAAGAGCTAGGGCATAGGCCAGAGATGCGGGGATGGGGGGCAGAGGGGTGAGAAGATTCACCAGAGACAGAGTTGGGAGCAGAACAGGCAGACTGAGTGAAATACACTGCTGAGGGGAGCAGCAGGTTAGAGAGGAGAGGTCTGCTGCGTCATGTGGGTTACTCCCTGGCTGGCTGGTGAGCGAACTCGTGCTGCAGAGGCTGCGGATTGCTTCATAGTGTGGTGCTTAACCTCTTGCGCCACCAGGAAGGCCCTCAAAAAATTTTTTTTTTCTGTTTTTTTTTTCATGCCAGAGCTTTGATGATTGGACTTTTTCATTTAGCAGTTGAGGGGTTTGGATATGGGGTGGTTTATGCATGAAGTAAGGACGTTACTTGTTTGTGACAGTCATGAGGGACCTAAAACTTTCTGGGGATCTGTTTGAGATTTTTCCCAACCCAACCCAACCCCTCTTCTTTCTAAATTTCCCGTGTTCCCAGATGCACTGCGGAACTTTCTCCTGGGTGCCGCCATTCTGGGAGAACCCGCTGGGTTCTGGGTCAGAGTCTGTGGGTCCTCGCGAGAGAACACAGACGCCGCTGGAGCTCGTGTCCTGACTCCCTGGTGAGTGTGGAGGCCTGTTTGCGCCTGGTGTGCAGGCAGAGGGTGGCCGCAGTGGTGATAATGGTGGTGGTGAATTTTCAGAAATTCTTTTACCCCCCAAAAATTCCATTTGTGACCCTTGCACATTCCACGCTCTGGGAATAATAGGGACACCATTCATGGAGAGTGTGGGCGGATGTGCCATGGTGGAAGGGACATATGGGCGACCCCAGAGCGGTCAGGACAGAGAGGGAAAAGAGTCCCTGAACTCAGTGGCGCTGGTCCTTGAGCGGTGCCACCTGGTGTCTGCTGCTCGCCTGACCTCAGAGGCTTCTCTGCGAACTCATCATCATTCTGGGCCCTGTGAATCCACACTGTGAACTCCCCTTCCAAGTGAATATGTTCCTGCCCCAGGTGGAAGCAGTTAACAAGGGATCTGGAGCAGGCCCATCCTTGTCTGGGTGATTATGGACAAGTTATTTCAAATTAACTCTAACCTTAATTTCCTCACAGGTAAATGGGGAGAATGCCATCTGCAATATTGGACGGTTTTGAGAGAATATATGTAAAATGCTCTTAAGCATATAGTAAGTACTTATCAAATGGTAGCAATTTACTGTTTGAGTTTATAATCTCTCTCTCTCCCCCATTTGATTGTGTCAGCCCTCTTCCCCAGCCTCTTAAACAGTGCCTGGCATGCTCACTGATTGGTTAAAAAAAAAAAAAAAAAGAAAAAAAATGAAGGTGCTTAATGAATGGTACAAAATATCATGATTATAAAAAGGGGTCCAGTCAGACTTGATAGTACTTATTCTAGGTGTTTTCATGGCATAATATTTATGCCATGGTTCAGGAATGATTTGTGGGCACCAGATCAGATATCTTTCAATTTCCTTGATTTTACTTTCCTCGAAGACATCCAAATACTGTCAGTGTGTTATCAGATCCACTCATTGGGCTTCCTTGGTGTCAGTCAATACTGCCTTACCAATTAGCACAAATTGCTTCAACCATGGGGCTTGGAATTTAGTAAATATGTCATCAGATTCTGGGTCTGGTAAAATAAGGATATCATTTGGGAAAAGAAAACCCAGGGCATTTGGATACAGGAAGCTAGATGCAAGGTGGACATCACTGAGTGAGACTCAAGAGTTAATGTTAATTTTCAGTTAATGATTATTAGTAAGTTTATGCAGTTGTGTTACTATCTCTACAATACAGTTTTAGAACATTTGCATCACCTCCAAAAGTTCCTTCATCACGGTTTGCATTTAATCCCTGCTCAAACCCTCAGACCTAGACAATCACTGATTACCTGTCTCTATATATTGCTTCTTTACTAGATATTTTATATAAATGAATCATAAAATATGTCGTCTTTTGCATCTGGCTTCTTTCACTGAGTGTACTCTTTTTGGGGTTTATTCCTGTTGTAGCAGTTACCCATGTTGTATCTGGATTTCATTCTTTCACTTGCTGAATCATATCTGTTGTATGGATATATGACATTTTATCCATTCAGGAGTTGCTGGACACACTAGATTTTTCTGTATGGATGTTGTGTACTGAAATCCTGCTAAATTTATTAGTTCTGGAACATTCTTGGTGGGTTCCTTGGGAAAGATCTTATCATTTGAGAATAATTATAGTTTTACTTCTCACTTTCCAGTTTGGATGCCTTTTTTGCCCTTTTTTCTATCTTTATTGATAGAACTTCCAGCAAAATATTGAATATCAGTGGCCATAGTGATATCCTTGCCTTATTTCTGATCTTAATGAGGCAAGTATCAATCTCCTTCCACCATTAAGCGTTATATAAACTATGAACTTTTCTTAGATGCCTTTTATTAGGTTGATAAATTTGCCTTCTTGTCTTAGGTTATTGAGAGTTTATATCATGAATGGGTTAGAATTTTGTCAGGGGCTTTTTTCTGTATTATTGAATATATCACATTCTTTAAAAATTTTATTAATATGTTGTATTACATTAATTAGTTTTTGGATTTTAAAAGATTTTTTTTTTTATTTTTGCATAGAAGGGTGTAGACCAGAGGTGCTGGGGGTGAGAGGATTCACCAGAGACAGAGTAGGAAGCAGAACAGGCAAGTTTACTGCTAAGGGGAGCAGTGTGTGAGACAAGAGAGGTCTGCTTTGCCGTATGTGGGTTAGCTCCCTGGCCAGCATCAAGCTCAGGCCCTAGGAGTGATAACTCTGAGACTTAACCCCTAAGCCACCAGGGAGGACCCAGCTTTTGGATTTTAAAGCAACCTATATACCTTGGATAAATGCCACTTGCTCATGCTGTGTAAATCATTCTTATTTGCTGTTTTATTTGGTTTTCTAATATTTTGTTAAGAATTTTTGCACTTGTGTTCATGAGAAATACTGGCCCTTAGCTTTCTTGTGTAGTAATGTCTTCATTTGGCTTTGATATTAATGTAATACTGGCTTCATGCAAAAAGTTGATGGGTGCAAAAAGTTGGGATGTATTTTATCCTCTATTTTATGAAACTTTGTGAAGAATTGGTATAATTCTTTAAGTATCAATAGAAATCACTGGTGAGCTCTCTGGACATGGTCTTTTTTTGTGGGAAGATTTGAATTGTTAATTCAATTTTTAAAAACCCATTGTAGGTCTGTTAGAAATTCTATTTCTTCTAATGTCAGTTTTAGCAAATTTTATTTTTCCAGCAATTTGTCCACTTCATCTAAGCATCCACTTCTTGGCACAGAATTGTTTATAATGTTTTTAATAAACCGTTTTAATTTTGTTTTTGTTCTATTCAAAATATTTTCCAATATCCTTTGTGATTTCTTCTTTGACCCATGTATTATTTATAAGTATGTTGCTTAATTTGTAAGTATTTGGAAAATTTTAAGAGTTCATTCTTTTGTTGATTTATAGTTTAATGCTGTTGCATTCAGAAATTATTCTTTTTATGATTTCAGTCTTTTAAAGAGTTATTGAAAGTCATTTTATGCTAACATATTGTCTCTTCCTGGAGAATGTTTTCTTTCATGTGTGCTTTAAAAGGATGTATATATTACCATCACTGGATGTAGTGTGTGATATCTTTCAGATTGACTTGGTTGATAGTGCTTAAATACTCTCTAGTTTTCATGACTTTCTAAATACTTACTCTGGCAATTATTGAGAGTGGAGTATTAAGACCTCCTACTGAACTATCTGTTTTTCTTTTTAATTCTGTCACAGTATTTTAGGACTCTGTTGCTAAGTGAATGTACACTTATATTTGTTATATAGTTATAATTTATTTTATTTTTTTAAAGATTTATTTATTTATACAAGAACTGGGGTACAGGCCAGATGCGTGGGAGGGTGAGAGGATTCACCAGAGACAGAGCGGGGAACAGAACAGGCAGATTGACCAAAGGGCAAGGCAGGAGAGGTCTGCTGCACCATGGGGGTTGCTCCCTGGTTGGGCGGGGGCGGGGATCCAACTGGTGCTGCATAGGCTGCAGACAGCTTCATAGGTTGCATCTTCATAGGTTGCCTTGTACCACCAAGCAGGCTCCTCTTGGAAGATTTAATAGTACTATGTGTCTTGGTATAGGTCTCCTTTTGGTTAGGTACGGTGATTTTCTTTCAGCTTTATGGAGTTGTCTGTTTAGTTCCATCCCAGGTTTGGGAAGTTGTCCCCTGTTACTTCTTTAAATAAGTTCTTGATTCATCTATACATATCTATTAAATAATAAAGATAAAAATAAATGGTAATTCATCAAACTCAAGAAATTGGAAAAAAAAAAACCCAACCAAATCAATCTACAGGAGAAAGACATTTATAAGTTAGATGCAAAAATTAGTGATTAAAACGTGAAAAATAGTAGCTTTTATTGTCTAGAATCTAGAATCTATTTGAAAAAAATTATTTTTTACTGGAACTTAGTGTGTGTAACCAATGCTTTGTGAATATTAATCTGTTTGATATTCATAACTCTTTGAGAGTTATTATCTTCTAAAGGAGAAACAGAGAATCTTTCATGAGAACACATAACTAGTAAATGGCAGAACTGGCTTTATATCCAAGTAGCTTTACTCTAGGCTAACATAACTAAGAAAATAAGGGAGCACAAAAAATACATGATAAAGGAAAATACTTGCAGATGCAAAAAATAAATATAATCATTAGAGTCCCTTCAATTGGAAAATTAAAATTTAAACCTGGATTAAACAGTCATTTTTTAAGAAGATAAAATTTAGCAGAATTGACTCTATATAGTAAAGAAAATCTAAATAACCCAATTGTCAAGAAGAAACAGCAAAACCATTATGCTGAAAGTTCCAGGCCCAGGCAGTTTCACATAATTTCCAAATCTCTAATAAATGTATTGTTGAAATGCTGTTTAAGCTGCTCTAGTGCATTTAACATTTTTAAGGATCCTTCTTTCTCTGCTACTTTTGCTTTGAATTAAACTTGGTTGGATATTAAGGTTGATGTACTGGGTTTTTTTGATTGCTTATATTTACTTGACATACCATTATTTATTTTTTAACATTTCAAATTTATTTTGTTTTGAGGTAACTCAAATATAAAGTAGGGTTACACTTTGCTTTGGAAGCCAAACTGAAAGTCCTTTTCTTTATTAGGTGAAGTTAGCTTATTTAACTTTGTTGGTGTAATAAATATGTTTGGACCTAGTTTTGCCATTTTATGTTTAAAAATTTTTCATGATGTAATCTGTTTTTTTCAATGTATTTCATCTGTTAATTAAAATGGGTTGCAATTTTGTTCTGGTTATAGTTATTATTTTATATAATAAACATTGCTACCTATTTTAGTAGGTAGTATCTGTTCATTTCCCACCAAAAGCAATTATGAAATTATTATATTTTTCCTACATCCTCTTCTTCCTCTCTTATAATGTTGGTATCATTTTAATAGGTTGCATTATTTATTAACATTTTCCTTAGTACTTTTAGATATATTTGTAACTTTATTTCTTGATTTAACTTTAAATGATTTCTTTTTGCCTGCTATTAAAGAAGAATAAATCAATATATTTCTACTACTCCCCACTTTCTTTACCCCTCTCCTTCCCAATTTTAACAAAAAATATTACAATCTCATTTCTTTGTTTAGAAATAATTGACATATGACATATTAGAGTCAGCTGTACAGCATAGTGATTCAATATTTGTATGTGTTCCACATATGTTTGGATTTAACATCTGTATATAGAGTCAGTGCCTACCACCAACACTTTGACCATAGCTGTCAAATTGAAATAATATACATGTTGAAAAGTGCTGAAATATTTAGTAGATAGCAAAATGAAAAATTTTCTATTTTAATTTCATACTCAATTTTTAATTGGTAGACTTTTATTAAAGAAATATTATAGATTTATGGAAAAATAAAGCAGGTAATACAGACAGCTCCCATAAACATCTTTCCATCACAGTTTCTTTTTTCCTTTTATTATTAATATCTTTTATTATTGTGGTATATTGTTATAGTTGATAAACTATTATTGATACATTTTTATAACTAAAGCTTATGGTTTACATTACAGTTCACTCTTTATGTGGTACAGTTATATGGGTTTTGATGAATGCATGTCATGT